ACCTTGGCTACACTTGTAGGGTAGTGAGGAACACAGAAGATGAAAACACCCTACATCACGTTTTCTCAAATAAAAACCGCCAAAGCCAGAGTGAGTGAGTTTAAATTTTACATCGCATCGGCAGTATTGCAGCCATATAGCGATGGGAACAAGGTAGTTACTATTATTAAAAACCTGTCGACGGACAGAAAAACAGTAAGGTAAATATCACAGTTTTGATATAAAACAAACCTGACCAATATTAAAACAAATAATTTTTCAGTAGGTAAGTTCATATAAGTTAGAACCAGGCTACGGACCACTAGCAACCAAGGCTAGACCACCTAACTGGGAATCATGGGGACTTACAGTGCTTTTGATTCCTGCATGATTCCCGGCAGGATTTATGCCATCACTTTGGTCACCAGTGAATGTATGTAATGCTAACCAATATTTTAAAAAAAGAAGCACAAACAATACATTTAAACACGAGTTGATATTATTCACTTCAATATATACTCACACGCAAAAGAAACGCAAGTCGAGTGTGCAGTATACATGTTATTTATTTTCAACAGTAAAGACAAGAAATACTAAAAGGGCAAGATTGACAAATTTGACTGAAGGCAGATGACATAATTGTTTTTTTCAAATGTTAAGCATTAGCATTGATCACTGCCACACATCTCCTGTACATTGAGTGGATCAGACGATTTGTCCTGGGGATCCTCCTGCACACATCCAGAGCAGCTGTAGCGTAGTTCATCGGCAGTTGTAGGGACTGGGCGCACATTGTGCAGACGCCCTTGAACCTCATCCCACAAGTGTTCGATGGGGTTCAGATCAGGGCTGAGGGCTGGCCACCCTAGAACACGGATGTTGTGTTGTTGCAGAAAGACCATGGTAGCTCTGGCAACACGGGGACGAGCGTTGTCCTGCTGGAAAATGTGTTGTTGATGTTGTGCAAAGAAATAGAACAACGTGGGGTCTGATCACTTGGTCGATATACCGCTGAGCAGTGACGCCGTGTCCCCGACCTTGGCCAACATTCAGAAAGCACATGGGTCCAAGTCTCGCATTAAGTCCAATCCCTGCCCATGTCATGACGCTAGGTCCACCCCACGGATCCCTTTCCACAACGTTTCTGTCAGCGAAACGATGACCTCGACGCCGCCAAATTCTGACACTTCCGTCTGCATGGGAGACACAAATACGACTTTCATCAGAGAAGATGACACGCCTCCACTCACGATGACGCCAATTGTGATGACCCTGCGCCCACTGAAGTCGTGCTTGTCGATGCCGTGGTTGGAGAACAGGACAACGTGCTGGTCGGCGACATCTGAGGTTGTTGGAACGGAGACGTCGGATCACAGTGTCCCGGCTAATGTCTCGATTATGTGTTCCTATGGTCTGTCGAGCACTTTCACTTGCAGTTAGGAACGGATGTAGCTGGTGTTGACGGGTAATCTGCCGATCTTGTCGAGGTGTGGTGACCCTAGGACGACCGCTCCGTGGAAGGTCATCTGTGGTCTGTGTAGCATTGTATCGATGCAGGAGACGGTAAATTGTGGTTATGTTAACGTTGAAATGACGGGCAACAATTTGGACAGACTCTCCAGCTTCCAAACGTCCGATAGCCTGGTTTCTCTGAATTTGAGTTAGGCGTGGCATTGTTGACCAAGGAGTGGTAGGTCCAAGAATCGGCCACAGTTTTATACCCACTACAGTTCGTGACAGTTCGTGCATTTTCGATTTCGCGAGAAATGGGTGCATAATTCCTAATATTCATTGAAATGGTGCGTTTTGGCGATTCGTTTTTTATGTTGCGTTTTTACTCGGGGTTCTTCCAAAATGCAACCAAAAATATTGATAACACCATCAGGCTTCACTACATGCTAAAACTCGTTTCAATTTATGGTTCCGTGTTTGTTACCTATTTGCTTAAAACCACTTGCGTTTCTTTTGCGTGTGAGTATAGATGGACTCGATGCCACTGTCGGGGGACAATGGTTTTACACTACTTTAAGCCCCTGAGTGGTACAGCCTTCAATACTCGCAGGTGTTACTAATATCACACTAATTTAAAATAATAATTCTATTTCTTTTAAAAAATCGAGAATTAAACGAGCATTGACATTTATAAACAGATCCTTTAAAGACGTTTAATGATAATAGGTATCCCTTGTGAGAGAAAAGTCTAAACAGTCAAGCAAACTTGACGGAGAATCCTCATCTTTCAGTAAATATTCTTGTATATGTGGCTGTAATCTGATCCCCAGAGGTGGAACCAGCTTCGGTTTAGTTTGGAATAATTCCTCGTAGGGAGGATTAAAAATGCAGTCATATGCTGGTTTGACGGGTTTGTTTTTAATTTTGTGATATATTGTAATGCATGTTTGAAACGTTGCTTCAAAGAAGGCTCATCAGCCTCTAGATACAGACTATCAACAGGAGAGGTCCTTAAGGCTCCAAGACAGAGCCTCAAACCCTGATGATGAATGGAATCTAGTTTGTGTAAGTTACTTTTACAGGCTCCACCATAAATGATGGAACCATAGTCCAATTTTGAGCGGATCAAAGATCTGTAGAAAGAGAGAAGGGTCTCTACTTTGATGGGTGTGTCATATAGAAATATTTTCTGCAGAAGTGTATACGATTAGTATTAGTTTTAGAAAATTTGAAGCCGTTAACAAGCGACCATTTGTGTATTTTATTGAGACACAACTGCAGTTGTCTCTCAATAGTGTGCATGTTTTTACCGCGACAAGAAATGTGAAAATCTTCCACAAATAACGATCCATCAACTGAATCATTCATAACTTTTGACAGACTGTTAATCTTGATATTAAATAATGTGACAGACAAAATCCTGCCTTGTGGGACACCCTGATCCTGATTATAATGGTCAGACTGGGTATGAATGGATCACTGGAAATAAGTTATGACACAAGATGTTCAATCCTTTGGCCCTGTCATCTTCTCTGAAACTGCTGGAATGATGAAGGTGGCATGAATGTTCCGTTGCATTCTATGAAGATATCATATTTTCCTCAAATCATTGTGAGATGAGTTCAAATAGGACAAGATTATTGTATTCATGTTGCGATGTGCATGTACGCACGTTTGTGTATATGCATGCTTGTACAAATCCGGACTTATGTTGTTTTCTTACATTACTGACAATGAAGACGATCTTCGTCCCGATTACAGTCCTTATGATACAGATATTCTCAATAACGATATCAAAGTCGAAGAAATGCAGTTAGCTTCAAAACGAACTAAAACGCAACAAAACAGCAGGTATCGATTGTATTGAATATGAATATCTGACCGAATCTGTGTAAAGTGTACCTTAACCTCTTAAACCTTGTTTTAATGTCGGATGTAATTCGTGAAGCATGGCAAGAAGGCATCATTAAACCGATCTATAAGACGAAAGGTGGGGTCCTTGATCCAAATTCAAATAGACCCATTACAATTCAAAGCTGCCTTGGCAATTTTTTACGAGTATTTGAAATAATCAACTCGATAAGTTCTTAGAGAGTATTTATATCCTCAACCCATCGGAAGCAGACTTTGAAAACAATTATCAACCCTCGATAATATTTTTATTATTAATACGCTGACACAATAAATAAAAAATTCTAAAAGAAAACCATATTGCGCTTTTATTGTCTTCAGAAAAACCTTTGATAATCTGCTGAGACTCGGGCTATGGAAGATATTACTTTGAACAAAATGGTATTGACGGAAGAATTTTTACATTGGCAAACACCATGTACTCAAATAAAAAATTCACGAGTTATGGTTAATGGTAAGATAAGAGACCCCTTTTCCGAGTTATGCTGGCGTAATTTCATCAATTTATCTAAATGATCTTGAGACATTCTAAATGAATAGCAGTATAATGGCTGCTGTTTACAAGTTGACGATGATAATACTGTTCTATATGTTAAAGTATTATTTCTACTTTATGCTGATGATACTGTTCTTTTCCTCGAGAATCCTGATTCCTTACTGAAGTCCATTGACACTATGCATAATTACTGCATTAAATGGAAATTATGAGTCAACATTAGTAAGAGTAAAATTGTTATATTTGGGTCTGGGGCTTCCAAAGGTAAAACGATTTAATATATTGCGGTGAAAATGAACTTGAAGCCGTCAGCAATATAACAATTACCTGGGAATTAAGCTTTATAGGAACCGGCGTCTACGAAGTGAAATCAAAGGTTTGTCAGATCATGGTTCAAACGCGATGTTTTCCTCACCACAAAAGGCAAGAAATACAACTCTTCAACTCCACTGTTTGTTTTAAGCCTCTGGTGTATTGTTAACCAATTCTCCTATGTGGCTGCGAAATGTGGGGATATGAACATTTCGAAATCATTGAGAAAATACAACTTAATTTCTTTTTAAATGGCAACAAGGCTTAGGAACAGTACCCCAAACTTCATTATTTATGGCGAATTTGGAAGAATACCACCTCGTTTAAAATATATAAGAGAAGGATTAACTTCTGGCATAAAACAGTTACTAGTAATCAGAAGCTTTAACTTGTTCTCTATTTATATGTGTGTTAATTATATATTATACTCTTGTACGTACCACCGTGGGTGGTTGCGATTAAATAAATGAATCTGAATCTATACTGCTCGCCCACTGAGATGCCAGGTCACTATTTAACATAGATACCCATACTCAGACACATTACCATGACTCCAGGCAAACAATCCCTGTTTATCCCCTCATTGCCCAGAACGCCATTAATAAGTTAAAATAACTTTCAGCGTGGGAAACAATAATTTATTGTCACTCATGTTCATGTTTTTCGAACGGGGCATGTCAATAGATTATGTCCCACTGGGAGATACACTGTCTACAAATACCCCAGAGATCACAACAATTGGAAGAGGCATAACAAATCATTTGCTGGTCAATACAAGTATTGTTATGACTTGCTGTTTGTCTGTGTCGCTGTCGACTTGACTAGGAATATACTCTTCCTTTAGCAGGACGCGGTGCACTGAAACTTTCGAATCCGCTCTAAGATTGAGGACTAAGATGGAATTCTGCATCATCATTGTTACAGGTAATTCAAAGTTGCCATTTGATGTTTACATTATCAGTTTATACACAAAGGAGCTGAAGTAACTGTACTCGGGTAGAAACAGTTTTGTAGAAGTTCAGTATTCTGTGGAAGTAAGTACAAATGATATGTAATGCAAGACTCTATATTCACACGTGCAGTGTGGTACTAACGGTACCCTTAAGGCTTTTGGAATGTTTTAATAGCTTGTTATGTTTTTACATTTCAATGGAAACAACGTCAACTACTCCTGAAGTCAGGACGGGATTCGTTTCCGGGACCAATTTAGCAAAAACGCATGTTCATATTTGTCAATGAACCATTGCCCACCAATATATTCCATCGAAATTTAAGACAGGTAAAAGCGGTTGTATTTTTATTTTAGAATTTGACGTAGAAAAAAAGGACGAAATTTGCCTGAAAAGAGAGATAACAGCTCATAAAGTATGACATTTCTGATAAGGTGCCATTTGGTCTATTTGGTGATAGGCCACGCTAAATATTTGGTAAAACATCTCAAGAAAATACAAAGGGTAATCGGCCTCAACATCTGCGTAGAATTTTTTGAAGGCGTTCTCGACGTGATGTAGGGTCGTGTCTTGACTGTCGGGCCTCATCGCGGCTCTCCGTGAGGTTTCTGCAAGTGCCTAACGGATTACTATCTGAGTTGACCCGATTTAATCGATCACTGACCTTCTTCATTTACCATTGGTGTATACCAGAAATTTCTGCATTGCACAGTGGATTTACATCACGTGTTCACACAACAAAAGAAACAATCTAAAGGTACCCTGAACATTTTTGCAGCGTGTTATGTTTTGAGATTTCAAAGGAGATTTCAACTGCTATTGTAACCAGTACGGGATTGGTTTCCGAGAAAGTTACAAAAGTTTGTTTCAAAATATGAAACGATGCCATGGTATTGTCAAAATATGAAGGAATACACTTGTTTGAATGCTTTGTCCATTTTGCAATGTCACTAACCACCAGTGCTCTAAATAAGGGTTCCGCGAATGGCTAATTCCAGTTTCTTACATGAAGTAGGCTAAACGTTTATGAGACTGAAGCTTTAAATGACAAATAATTAATTGTGACTGGTTGTATTGATATAGAGGATATTTCATGTGTCGAGTGAAATCTTACGTTCCTTTCATCGAGTTACGGGGGAAAGGATACATTTTCACAGGTGGAGGGCACGTGGAGGATCTACCGAACCTTTGACCAGTGCCATCTCGGGACTCAAAGTGACATTTATATTCAGAAATAACTGCCTGTTATCGTCGTATATACTCTGGAGCATATAAATCAATGCATTAAGAAACTAGTTGATTTATTTCGGACTCAAGCAAATATGCTTCAATTATTTCAAGCAAATATGCTTCTCTCATCACAAGGGACAAACTGAGGATCCTCACCTTTCAATCAATATCCAAGGGTATAACGACTGGCCAATGTGACATCCTCATGTATTGACTGGCAGCCCAAATAGGTATAACCAAGAATCGGGTTTTTTCATGAAGATTGTTTATACCCACTTGTGTGTGCCACTTCGTTTGCATTAGATCTCTATGGTAGCATCTAATTACAGGTTTGCAATCACTGTATGGTAAAAGAAGTGATGTCACTGATTTGTTGAGTGCTGCCTTTGCTACAGCATCAGCCAAATTGTCATTAGCGATTCCAACATGACAGGGCAACCAGCAAAATACGATGTCGTATTGGTCAGTGGCGAGAATATTATTCAATTAAAAAAATTAAGTATCAACAGATGATTTGATGAACAATTGTTTATTGCCTAAAGACATGACAAAGAATAAGAAAAAGATATGACCTGTTGAAATGATTGGTGCTGAATGTATTCCAATTATCTAAGAACAGTGTTGGCATCAACTGTAAAAATAAAACTATAACACTGGGATTCTCGAAGACACTATTTTGGATCCAGTGACAGTGGCACTTGAAACTTTGCCACCATCCTTGGAGCCATCGGTAAAAGTAGAAGGATGGTAATAATATTTGGACCTTAAATGGGCATGGTCTTGGTTTGTGTCAGATTGTTTTAGGTTAGTTAGTGTTTGGGCTACATCCAGTTTAACTAGTTGCAAAGAAGGTGTAGGCAGTAGCTGGTATGGTGACACAGTAGATAGATATAGATTTAGCTGCAACAATAGGACAGACACCGATATCCCCTGCAATGGTCAATTGGTAAATACCTGTCGTGAATATATATCATTTGATTGAAATGACTTTTCATACATAGTATTAAACACACGACACAATCCTATGGTGGATTCGACTGAATTTGAGAGAGTTTAATAACATGTTGCAATGAAAATGTAATTTGACGTTGTTTGAGGGATGTTTCATCAGCCTTTACATTGAAGCTATTGACCGGTGATGTCCAAAAGGCTCCTATTTTCGTAAGCTGCTTTTACAGGCCCACCATAAATTTTGGAGCAATAATCAAGTTTTGAACAGCTAAAAAGAGATCGATATAAATGAATGAGGGTTGTCTGATCCCCTCCCCATTTGGTACTAATAACACATTTCAACAAATCAATTACCTTTACACATGTAGTCTTTAGATATTTTTATGTGGTAAAAATGTTAAATGAAATATATCGGAAATAATAATTAGGGAAGCCAGCCAAAAACAGTTCATGGTCCTCATGCGGTTTATATTTTGGACACAAATGGATACAGTTTGTCTAAGTTTTAGAAAATTCAAACCCATTCTCCAGTGATCATTTTTTAATTATATTTAGACAAAATTGTAAATGTCTCTCGATAGTGTGCACATTTGTACAACGACAAGATATATTTAAATCATTCAGGAAAAGTGATCCATCAACTAAATCACTTAAACCCTTTGAAAGATTATTTATTTTTATACTAAATAAAGTGACAGACACAATACAACCATGGTTTACGAGTATGAGGATTTGCAGAGGTCTTAGGAAATGTTTGATCAGCTATTTCATTAAGCTGATCTGAAAACAAGTAAACCGGATCAATATTTTTAAATGTCCAATAGGTAATTTTGCAGTACAAAAAATTTCCTACCATGACCAATTGGCTTTTGTAAAATTCCATCTGGGTGAAGACGAATCAGAATTTGGGTTTAAGAATGGTGGGGAAGTGATCGCTTCCACAGAGGTCATCATGGACCGACCATTCATATTCGTGAAATAGGCTTGAATCTGTGAGAGACAGAATAAGTACTGAGTACGTTCCAGTGGCAGGATGTAAATATGTGTTTGAATCACCATTACAAATACATAAATTATTATCAGAAATGAATTCGTCAAGTACTTTCCCTTCATTGTGGTCACACTTCTCCATAGAGGGTTGCGCCCATTCAGACCACCACCTATGATGCATTCTAAAGGAGCTGATCACACAGATTTTGAAGATCAGATTGTCGAATCATAGTGGATGGAGGAATATACAAGGAGCACAGACTAAACACAATGCGCAAAGTTAAACCAACAGCTGGAAGATTTGTATTGAGGGACATGACTGTGAATGACGCCCTGTTTCACCAAGACAAAAGACCCTGTGGGGAGTTATGAAGGATGACTGTTGTACTGTCTTATATCAAATTGATCTTTACTTTTAAGGTTTGTTTCTTGAAAACAGAAAGAAGACGGTATAAAATCCTGTATGAATAATTGAATGTCATTAAAATTAGTTCTGAGTCTTCTGCAATTCCATTGGATTAGGTTAACTGATTGAGTCACGGTTGCTCAATAGGCGACCTCACACGTGATCGTGAGGTGGAAGTACTTCTACCTCTATCTTCTGAAGACAGGCTCACCTCCATTTCGAGAGGTCCAAATGAATTACGAAGAGGTACGAGGGCTGGTCAATAAGTTCTAAGCCTGACTGACTAATGTTCAACTATGGGCCGTAACAAAATGAACTAGTCAATGTAGTACACTGTTTGAGTAGTTCATTGCAAGTGTATATGGTCTGTTGAGACCGTTTGTATATTAGTGGCAGTCAGTCGAACATGATAGGGGTCCAAATGGACACGGAAATGGAAAATAAACAGTACCGAACAGTCATCGCGTTTTTGACTTTAGAGAAAAGTACTCCCCAAGAAATTCATGACCGCATGTCACAGGTGTTTGGGGATAAGTGCACTAGATAGTCCACTGTTTTAAACGTTGGGTATCTATGTTTAAGGCTAGGAAACATGTCTTGACGATGACCCTAGGTCTGGACGTCCTTCAACTTCCATCAATGAAGATTCCATCAAGGAGATAGAAAACTTATACTGACAGATAGAGGTATTACCATTGCTGAACTTGAGGAAGACACATGTCTAAGCCATGGTTCCATTGTAAGTATTATTCATGAACATTTACAGACGAATAAGATATCTCCTCGTTGTGTGCCAAAGTTTCTAAATTCTGATCTTTTAAATTCAGAAAGCGATTAGTAACGGCTGATAAAACGTGGGTCTTCAACTATGATCCCGAGTCAAAACGTCAATCCAGGGAAAGGCACCATTCCACTTTCACCGACACCAAGGAAATTCAAGTCTTCAAGAACAGAGAAGAAAGTAATGGCCACTGAATTCTTAGATGCAAAGGGTGTGATCCTTGTTGATTACATAGAAATTCAAAAGACGATTACCTATGCCTTCTATGCTGATTTGCTTCATCGCCTGAGTGATTCTATCAAGAAAAACTTGGAGGAATGCTGACTGCTGGAGTTCTACTACTTTATGACAATGCCTCTTCTCACACCTCTCGACTTGCAAAGGCTGTTGTGCGAGTCACGTTCTTCACCTCTCCAAAAATTGCTTTGGATATACCAAACGGATTTAGTTTGATGTGCTGTTTGCCATGGGTCTCTGTTACAAGGAATCGAGGCCAGGAATCAATATGCTGATGTTCATCGTCAGTTTCACTTTCTACTTCTAAATGTTTTCTTTTTGGACAATTGGAACCAGACAATTGTTGGAACATGTTGAAAGGAAAACGGTTCAGCACCCT